CCTCCTTCATCATATGAGTGGAAACCCCAGGACTCAGGGGGGTTTTGTTCAGGAATTTTAACTCTTAGGACAAGAAGTTTAACTTTTAGATGGCCACAGGGTGAGGAGGAATGGCCGGACAGCCCAAGGTCAGGGAACTGTAAGAGCCCTCTCAGCAGCCCCAGGGGTCAGGAGCTGCAGGTAGAAGCAGAGATTGATGCCTCCTAAGCAGGTGGGGTTAGGAGGGAGAGAAGCTGTCTTAGCAAAGGATGTGACACCTGGCTGATCCATCACTCAAATAATAGATGTGGTCGGTACCCAGTGAGACTCCCCCTGGGCCCCCTTTCCTTAAGTCCAGGGATGGCTGTTGTTCTATTGTCCCAGGGACACTGTCTGAAAGGTTTCCACCTAAGCCCTGAGCCCTCCCTGGGTCCTGAGATGCCCAGAGCGGCACAGCCCAGCTCTGCAGAAGTGCTCTTGCCTGTGGAGTGAGTGGCAGCCTCCTAAGTGCTCTCTACACTTGGAGCACGGCTCCAGAGAACTCATCTGAAATAGATATTTCCATTGCCAGAGGGATTTATTGACAAAAACTAGCCATCTATTAACATTATCTGGGGACTCTGCTCTGGGGAGAATAGACACTATAAATCTTAGTTGTGTGGAAACTCAGGAGGCAGAAGGCTTTAGTGGACGGCAGAGAGAAACTCCAATGAGTTCAGACCTGTTTATTTTACTTAGAGAGAAAGAACATTCTGTACCCAGCCAGGCAGGAAATGGCTTTTGGGGACGGCCACTTAGCCTAGCTGCTGGCCCTGAAACTGTGGGAGTAATCGCTGCCTGCAATTAGAGCGGGCGGCTCAGAGAACCATATTTTGTAATCAGTGATGGAAGCCTCTGGAACTTGAGGCCTGACGCTTGAAGCAGGTATCCCAGGGCCTGCTGGGAAGGAAGACCCTCGTGACACACTGAGAGCTCAGGTTCTAGTGTCTGGTGAATAGGTCCCTGTGTCCAGTCACCTAGGGCGTGCTAGTGGCCCTGGAGTAGTTATCTATTGAACCTCTTTTCTCTCACTGTCCCCTTAGTGTTGATGGTCGATGACATGATTGTCACCCAGGACCCTCTGTTGTTCAATCTTCACACACACACACACACACACACACACACACACACACACACACACAAACAAAACAAAACAAAACAAAAAAACAACCCACAAAAAAACAGGTAACCCAAGTGGCCTAGCTTGTCTTTCAGGACATAGGAGAATCTCTGAGGTGTCATACCTGAGTGTAGGCAGTGAGAGTTGAACCCATGCATTCTGTCCCTGAGAGGCTGTGAGCAGCCTTCCACTTACTGGGGTGTAGAACAAAGCATGACACATGGGCATGGGTACCACTGCTGGCTGACTGGTCACCTTGGCTAAGTTCTCACCTTTGTGCCTTGGCTTACTTTCCCTACAAAATGGACAAAGCCTGGGGCTCCTGTCTGGGGTCAGTGTGGTAGCCTGTCTTCTTCTTTGGTTGTGACATTGGAAAGGGAATCCAGGACCTCAGTGAAGGGTCACCTAGAGCTCTAACACCAACCCACACCCCTAGCCAGGTAGATGTCTACATTGGGCTTTGTGTTATTTCCCCAGGATGTTGTCAACCCCTAAACTCGGCAGTTTTCACAGTAGAAATTTGTCACTTGCCATTTCTGGTGTCGAGATGAGAAGTCACAGTACTGTCTGGCGATGCTCCCTATGGCCTCTTGGGAGGGTCTGATTCAAGTCTGTTTTTCTGAAGTTTTTGGCATGGTGGCCTGGCTGTCTTTAATGTCCTTTGGTTATAAACATGTTATTCTAGCCGGGCGGTGGTGGCGCACGCCTTTAATCCCAGCACTAGGGAGGCAGAGCCAGGTGGATCTCTGTGAGTTCAAGGCCAGCCTGGGCTACCAAGTGAGTTCCAGGAAAGGCGCAAAGCTACACAGAGAAACCCTGTCTCGAAAAACCAAAAATAAATAAATAAATAAATAAATAAACAAACAAACAAACAAACATGTTATTCTAATCTCAGACCTTCAGTGGTTCTGCAGAGAGGACCCTAGGATATGGGTCCATCATTGAAGATCAACCAGACTCTCTGTGTGCTTTACCTCAGAAAGGATCCAGGGCGTGCTCTCGGGGCTATCCACTTGTATGTCAGTCACTTTAGGGACCTTTGTATTTAGTGTGCTCTGGGAAGTTCACTCAGGTTAGCAGGCCCTGATGCAGGATAGCACCATCCCTGTGGATAGTGGCTGGAGGGGACCTCAGGTCTACCTACAAGTACACAGGATCCTACTTGAACCTAAGAGTCCCATTTGGTCTTCCATTCCTGCTCTGGAGAGACAGTAGTGACATTGTATGGCCATATGTTCAGCCCAGAACCAGCTCATGCCTTCACCGGTCATTTCTACAGGGCTACTTGGAAGGCTTCTGCCAAGCCTTCATGTGCCAGACAATGCCAAGAGTCCTTCCTTTGGAAAAGTCAAGAATGGATCTTTCTAACCCTTGGTAAATGCCAGAAGATTTGAGCAAAAACTGAAGTTGCTTTGTCCCTCAGTACTGGGTCTGCCCTTTGCACTTTTTCCCCTTGGCAGCCATAAAGCAAGACAGACTTCTGAAGGCAGGGGAGCCAGCTGCTCACTGAACCTCAGTTTCCCCATCACAGGGAGCCAGACCTTTCCTTTCTGAAATCTCAAGGTCACTCTCAAGTCTATCTTCCTCCTTGTGAGAAATGGATGTGCCCTTTCCCGGGTGAGAGGTGATTCAGAGAAAGGCAGCAATAATTAATATTGATGATGCTTCAAATGTTAAAACTTAGAATTAAGTTAAAAAAAAAAAAGGACAGGGTCACATGTAACCAATTAAACAGTGACTTGTCTGTGGCCTTGTGCCCACTTTGGGGGCAGAATGGTCTTCATTCGGCTCTGCCAATTAATCTCACCTCACCTTCTTTGCTGGGAGCTGAGCTGTCTGCAAATTGAAGGGAAAGGAGACACCGGCCAGTTCCAGACACATAGACCATCTCCCGTTGTGCAAATGCCAGGGAGGAGGAAGCGCAGATCAATTTGCAGAGCCGAGACAGCATACGGCCCTGTGAGGAGAGGCGGCTGCGCTGTGCCTGGGTGCGGGTGTGAGAATTAATGAAGGCAAGATGAAAGAACGCGGGCATTTGAGATGAAGCCCAGCGGGTTACGAGGGTTCAGGATGAATTTCAAAATGCAGAGATTGCAAGGCCATGGACTAATTATCTGGCTAGGATGGACTGGAGGAGGCTATGTCTACCCGCTCCACGTGGCCAGGTGGGAAGCTGAAGAGGTGCCCGCTGGGGACACTGGTTTGGCAGAGGGGGTGACTGTCTGGGTCATGATCCCCTGCTCCCCGTCTTGTAGCTTGCAAGCCCAGCATTAGACACACTTCCTTTGGGACTCAAGGTTAGACATCGGCAGGTTTGTGCGGGAGCTGGCGGGCAGGGTTGAGCGGGGAAGGATGTCCTAGTGTGTGTATTCCCTAACCTCCCCTGCATCTGCAGTACCCTTCACATGAGGACTTCACCGCTGTGACCAGGCTGTGATGATCCCAAAGCCATGTCCATGTCAGAGATATGAAACAGGAGATGTTGGGTCATCCATCAGCTGGCCATAGGCAGGGGCAAGGGTCCATCAGGCTCCTGACTTCTGGGCAGCGTGCTGGCTGCTGTGAACAGTGAGGACAATTAAGTCATCAGAGAAGGCTATAGGATGGGTGTGGGGCATTGGTTTCTTGGAGTACAGGGGTGCTTCTTAGAAGCTAGATGCTGGATGTCGGGGGCATTTGTTCCCAGTAGAGGGAGAAAAGCAGTGGCCTGGCTGGGGAGGTTTAAGGGCCACATATGATGGATTACATGGAACACATGGCTTCGAATAAAGGCCATAGGAAGGCCTTACGTTCAACTCCAAGGCGGGACCTCACCCTGGGCCTGAAGTGCTCTTACAGTTGGTCACCGGTAATGTGTTGGGGTTCCAAGCCTGTGTGGGATTTGGAAGTTCTCATCTGTGTCCTCAGAGTTGAGGTGACTTTGAATAGCCTGTCACTGCTTTGAATAGCACTGCCTCTTGGGAAAGGCTCTGGAGAAGGCTGAGGTAGATGTCAGCATCAATCAGCTGTTGGTGTATAACTAACCACTCTGATCCAGTACCTCAGAACACCTGTTAACCTCTGCATGCTTAGTTGGGCCATAGTGGTTGATCCTGCCTGGGCCATCAGGCTTCATGGGCAGAGGTGGGCCAGTTTGCTTCTACTCTTTCTGGTTATAGGCCCTTCAGTAGGCAGTCTGGGCAGGGTTCTTGTAGGATGGGATCCCACATGGTCCCTTGAGGCCAGACATTGCCTGACAATACTTTTGCTAGATTCTTTGGGTTAAAGCAAGTCACAGACTACTCATGCACAAAGGGAGGAGTATCTACAGGCATGGTAGGTGTGTGTGCGTGCGTGCATGTGTGTGTGCGTGCGTGCGTGCGTGTGTGTGTGTGTGTGTGTGTGTGTGTGTGCGTGTCCGTGTCCGTGTGTCCGTGTGTGTGTGTGTGTGTGTGTGTGTGTGTGTGTGTGTGTGTGTGTGCGCGCCTCAGTATGCCCCTGAATGACTTGGAAACCTCGCAGGCTCTCCTTGTTGGACCATTCTTGTCAACGATCCTCAACAAGTCTTCTGCTCTCTGCAGCTGGCACAGCCCATAGCTTCCCAGCATCTGGAAGAGAAAGGCAGAGCAGAGCCTGGTAGTTGGGGGCTGCTGGGCCTTTGCCAATCCCTGAGCACACTTGAGTTTAACAAAATCCACTTCTTTCTGAAAACTGCGGCTTGTTCAACTTTCCTCTAACTTGGCGTAGTGGAAAGCAGGCTGCCCACTCCCAGGTGGGTCTGTGAGTGGGCCAATTGTGAACTCATAATTAAAGGGATTTGACAAGAATCAAAGAAGACTGGTCTCCACCAGGGGTTTGGGGAGATAATTACCCGTGTGCATCTGGCTATGATGGGTGTGTGAGCCTGAAGAGGGCCAGGGAACACCGGGGATCCGATGGGAAGACGAAGTGAGGACATGAGCGCCATGCAGATTTTGTAATTGCAAGTCTGCCGTGGACATCTGAGGGGCGAAAGTAGGCTTTGCTTCTTTATGTCTTTAGCAATACAGCCTTCCTCATACCCCTGCCCTGTGTGGGGAGGGACCTCTTTGAGCTCAGGTTCAGTCCCCACAGGGAAAAACAGGAAGTGGAAGGAATTTGTGAATGGATTCATTTGGGATTCTGCGTCTCTCCAGACCAGAGACCATACAGAAATGCCCAAAATGGCTCCGCTTGCTCCCACTGGGAGCCATATCTGGCACATGGCAGTGGAGGAGGCCTGAGTCTTCCAGGCTTTCTAGACCACACTTGTCTTAGGTGGGCTTTACTTGTTTAACTTTTTGATTTTGTTGGTTCTTCTCTATGAATGTCCTGGAACACTCTGGAAGGCTCTTTCTAGTCTCTCTTCCGTCCTTCCACTCCAGCAACTGAGCGGACCTAAGGCCTGAGTTTGTAAGGCTGACCTCACTCTTGGGACTCATGGGATCTCTTCTGAGCCTTCAGCCTGGGCCGCAGAAGGAGCTCACAAAGAACAGCCCTAATCTAGCCTGGGTGAGGAGCCCAGCCAAGCTGAGATCTGTGCTTACTCCAGAACCACCCTAGGTACCCAGGAATAAGTTCTAATCTAAAATGCTCACTTTTCTGGATATAATGACATACTTGTTCTGAGAAACCCAGGAGACAGCGAGGAGCTCAAGGAGAAGTGTCTCACCACCCACTGACAGGAGCCAGGATTTGCCAAGTCTTCTCCCTTAGAAGGAAAGTCTTGCTTTCCCTGAGATTTGAGAGCACGTGTCCTCAGCACGAGCACAGGCTGTGCACCTGAGCTTTGAAAACATCCCTCTCTATGACTCAGAGGTTAAGAGCACATGCTGCTCTCCTGGAGGACCTGAGTTTGGTTCCCAGCACCCATGTAGAGAAGAAGCTCACATTTAGCTGCCTATAACTCCAGCTCTAGGAGATCCAGCACCCTCTTCTGGCCTCCATGGGCAATGCACTCATATGCATACACACATAGTCACATACCCATACATATAAATACATTCTTTTTAGAAAGAAAACTTTCCCCTCTTGGCATGGAGAGTGTTTTTTGTCTAAGTCTTCCTGTGTAGTGCACACTAGCCTTGTACTTGTAATCCTCCTGTCTCAATATCCCAAGTGCTGGAATTCAAGCCTGTACCACCATGCCTGGCTTTGTAGATAGGTACATTTTTATGCCAATGCCTGGCATTTCTCTGAGGTGAATTCTCAGGCATGAGTATACTGGATTGAAAAGTTTGCACTTTGAAAATACTCAGGTGCACTGTGAAGAGCTGGTGTGGGCTGCGCCATGCCTTCAGCTGTTCATTGTCCTAGGGGCTCAGTCACGTGAGCTCAATGCCCAGAGATACTGTCCACTGAAGCTCACTTGTATGCTGAGCCCTGGCAATCCAAGGACCCTGTGTTCCTTACCTCACTCGCTTAGAGCCCAGTGCCAGCGGAGTTCCCAGGACTCTGAGCTAGCTTCAGGGGCTCCCAGCTCCTTGGCAAAGCCTGGGTCTGACTTCCCCAGCTTGGCTGTGGGGACGCAGACTGGGGCTGGTGGCCTGTGTGTGTCAATAGATGGCCAGCCTGACCCAGCATCCAGAGTTTAAAGAAGAGGGTCTTTGCTTTGAACATACTGTAAAGTCACAAGTGGAGTGTGTTTATACAGGACTGTGTATTCATGTGTGTGCACCTGTGTGTGTGGGTGCATGGACACATATGTTCCTGCATGTGGAAGGGAGGGGCTGATGTTGGGTGTCTTGGTCAGTTGTGCTCTATCTTGTTTTTTGAGGCAGGGTCTCTCGTTGAACTTGGAGCTCACCAACTGGACGGTCAGGGGTGCCAGGGATCCCCTCATTCCCACTAACCGGTGCTGCAGTCACGGATGTGCTCCACCACGTTTTGATTCCACATGGGTGCTGGGGATCCAAACTTCAGGTCCTCGGGCTGTGCATCAAGCACTCTACCAATGGAATCATCTCTCCAGTCACTGCTGCTCTCAACATTTGCTGCGAGAGCTAACCTTGGCATGCCGAGTTGACGGGCAGTGAGCGAGGACCTAGTCCGAGGCGCCTCTGCTTTTGCTGTGTGACTTTCGATGAGTGGATCCATCTCTCTGAGCCTCTGTTTTGTCACGGTAGAGAGTGTTCATAACGGAGCCCTGTTGGCACCAGCTGTGCTGAAGAAGTGAGACAGGAGTGACAGGAGCAGTTCTTGACCCCGAGTGACAGCTTGGTGGTGGCAGATATGGCTGTCATCCCTGCTCATGCTGACTCCTTGGGTGACTGGGAGGGGAGGGGGACAGACTCCCTGGAGCCCTCTCCTCCAGTTGAGTGATGCAGTGATTAGGCAGGGTGTGTCTATTAATGGCTCCTGGACCCACCCAAGGCAGATGAGCAGGGCAGGGGACAGAGGCAGAGGGCGCAGTCCTTGGAAACAGGCATTAACTTGCAGGAGTTCTTGCCTACACTGTACCTGCTTCCTGCTCTTTTCCCCAGTTTATAAGGAAGGAAGGTAGGCTAGGCTGGCTGAGTCCGCAAGCAAGTTGTAACGACCTCTCTCCAAAACCCTTTGAAGATGCTGGTCATGCTAGGTGCAGACAGACTCACACCACAGTCAGCAGACACGAGAGATGAGGGTCCAGAGGCATGCACAGTACAAGGATGTTAACTCTTGTGGGCTGAGAGTGGTCCTTGACACTTATCAGATGAAACACCCCCAGGACCCAGGATATGACCGTGTCTGGAGACAGGGACTTCACAAAGGTGCCTTGGCTAAATGAAGTCATACAGGTGGACCCCACCCAACATGATGGACATTCTTATAGGAGGAGGAAGTCAGGACCCATACAGGCACAGAGGGCTGAGCTGGAAGCACACAAGGAAAAGGTGGTGTCTAAGGCCAGAAGAAAGGCCCCTGGAGAACCCGGCCCTGCCTCACCCTGTGCTTGGGTGATGGCCTCCCCTATGAGAAAATGGATGTCTGCTGCCTTGGTCTCCCCAGCATTGCTCATGGCTAAGGCAGAGCCCACGCTGACAGTGTCTACTGTGGCATTCGGTTCACAGAGGCTTGCTCATTGGCTGGAGGCAACTGAGCTGGCAAGGGGCCGAGATGAGCCGGACACCTGTGGTGTCTGTGCATTCTCAGCCAATGATGCCAGGGAGTCCACTGGTATGTGTGTGGGTGTGGGTGTGATAAGATGTCCCCAGGGACAGCCTCCATCTGGTCTGCGTGGGAGAATGCTCTGTGCCCTGCTGACTTTCCAAAACTCTCTTTAGGTTCTAGGACTGACACAGACCCATCTCTTGGATAGGCGACGCTATCAGAAGTTCCGATGGCCTCAGTGGGCCTTGACTTTGGCTGTAGTGTGTCCAGGGAGTTTGGGGCTGGCTCAAGATACTTGAATGAGCTGTAACGAGGAGCATCTCTGGGAAGAGGCCACTGCCTCTCTATCCTCTCGGAGCCATTTTCTAGTGCAGTTGGCCCACAGGGAACTGAGGTGGCCAGATGTTCCCTAGGGACCCTGCCTGAGCTGATGCCTCCTTGTAGCAGCAGAGGCAAATGGGCCTTGGGTGTGTTCCAGACAGCTGTGGGCAGTGCACGCACCTGAGGCCAGTAAGCTGACCCTGCTGTGTCCAAAGTTACTGGGTCCATGTGGTTAGCCGAGCCCTGGCTTGGAAGGTGTGGGTAGTTCTGCCTCACCCAGCTGGGACTTGACATTGAGCATTGGAGCCTGAGGGCCCAGTCACGTGACCTTTTGGTCACCCACAGTGGCCACCACCTCTCTGATCTGTCTTCTGTCCCCAATGTGGTTTCTGACGTGCTGAGCAGCCATATTGCTCCGCTTAATGAATTTGCCGTCTGGATGCAGGTAAAACTCTTCCAGGTGATGTATCCCATTCTACAGATGAGGAAGAGGCTGAGAAAGACCCCACTGCTGTCTGAACACCTGCCAGTGAGGAGTGGGGTTTGCATCGAACACTCCTGCCTGGAGCCCCGCTGCCCAGTCCTTGGGTCGTCATTTGAAATCTTCCGAGTACTGCTTTCATCCCCAGGGCCATAAACGTACCCCTTGGTGACAGTGTCCATATGTTTACATCATGGAATGGTAAGACAAAAGTTCTATATGGTACAGATATTGCATATTGAATTTAAGCTACAAAATGAGAGCTTTAAAAAAAATGAGAAATGGGTAATTGAGATGGCTTAGCAGGTAGAGGCTCTGGTTGCCAAGCCTGATGACCTGAGTTCAAAGCCTGGGATGCCCATGATAGAAGGAGAGAACCAACTCCTGCAAGTTGTCCTCGGGTTTCCATAACTTGTACACCCTCTATAAATAAGTAAAATATAATAAAGATGAGATTAAAAATGAAAGTCAGATAGTGTACTTGGTGCATGACCTCAAGTTTGAAATGGCCTCGGGTGGCTACTGGCTCCATCTTCTCACAGTGCTGATGCAAATCTCTGGCCAGACGCAGGGGTCATGTGACCAAACACCACTTGCTGTCATGCTTCCCATGGACAACATTGCCTCCGGACTGATCCAGATCCATGACCCTGTTCTCTCCTCTGAGCCTGATGATGTCCTTCTTCTTCCAATTTAATAGGTCATTCTTCTCTTTCATTGACAAATATAATGCTGGGATTTTACTCTTTCATTGACAAATATAATGCTGGGATGTGGTGTGTGTGTGTGTGATCATGCAAATGGGTTTTGAATCTAACTGAAATTTTATATCAAATATTTCAAAATAATGATGACATTTCCCTCACCATCCACAGATGTTGCTCCCAGGACTTTAATAATTCTTCTTCAGGCTCCAAATTATAACCCTCACTCAACGTCACTGATGAGCTGTCTCAGCTTGCATTTTTCCAAAGATGGTACTTTTGCTTTGAATCCATAAACTACGTCGTGAAATGCATTTGTACTTCTGTGGTTTTTTTCCCCATTTTCAAATAAATTCATGCTGGTCTTAGATGCCTGTGCAGCAGGCCACGGGGAAGGCAATTTCCATGCCCCAGTGAATCCACTAGGCTGGAATGCCCCTGTCCTAGAACCAAATCAGGAGTCAGCCTCACCTGTCTGGAGTTCACTTTGCAGAGAGGTGGTACGGTGGTACTGGGCTTCTGACCCTGGTCTCTGCAGCTGGCTGAAGACAGTCAGGTCCCCAGCAGATGCTTTTTCCTCAGTTCTACCATGCCCTCATCTCAGAGCTGCAGGCCCTTGACCTTGGAATTTTCTGGAAGGAGTCCCTCCCCTCCCTGTCCCTGCAGCTACACTGGTTGTATGTTTTGACAAGAGCACTGGGCACGTCTTTGAGCTACTTGGAGAACTCTATCTTCTGAAGTTGGTCTAGGTGGGAGATGCTCTTTCACGCTTGCTTCTCGAGGGATCACATCTGCGGGCTCGAGCAGCAGCCCCTAGTAAGTGCCACTTTCTCAGTCTTTAAAGGTTTTTGTTCCACGTGGACCCTGTACTTTGCAGACCTGAGAGATGTTGTAGTCTTGGGAGGCTGGTGGGCAGGACAGCTGGGGCAACAGGGGCAGCTGGGGCAGCTGGGGCAGCTGGGGCAGCTGGGGCAGCTGGGGCAGCAGGGGCAGCTGGGGCAGCAGGGGCAGCTGGGGCAGCAGGGGCAGCTGGGGCAGCTGGGGCAGCTGGGGCAGCTGGGGCAGCTGGGGCAGCTGGGGCAGCTGGGGCAGCAGGGGCAGCTGGGGCAGCTGGGGCAGCTGGGGCAGCAGGGGCAGCTGGGGCAGCTGGGGCAGCTGGGGCAGCAGGGGCAGCTGGGGCAGCTGGGACAGCAGGGGCAGCTGGGGCAGCTGGGACAGCAGGGACAGCAAGAGCAGCAAGGGCCACTGGGGCAGCTGGGGCAGCAGGGGCAGCTGGGGCAGCTGGGGCAGCTGGGGCAGCTGGGGCAGCAGGGGCAGCTGGGACAGCTGGGACAGCAGGGACAGCAAGAGCAGCAAGGGCAACTGGGGCAGCTGGGGCAGCTGGGGCAGGAGAGCTCATAGGTGCAGAGAAGTCTCAGTTCTCTCAGAAGTCATGGCAGGATACAATGAATGACATACATCTCCCCTGAGAAGGAGAAGAGGCCCTTTTTATGTGTATGAGAATCTGTTCTGGACCCATGTTTCGTTGGATGAACTGCCTGAGAGCCTAAGGCCCACCTACCTCCATCTGACCTCACTTAAGCCCCCCCCCCCATAGCCTAGCTGGGGCATCTCTTCCACTGCTCCTGGACCTCTGAGGCCACCTCTCCTTCTGTTGACCATGATGGCCAGCTGCAGACAGAGTGCTCTGGCTCCCAGCTTATCCTAGTTGCTTCTCCAGGTCCATGATAAAAACGTCCAGTGAAGCAATATGGGGGAAAGGGACTTATTTCATCTTACACATCACAGTCCATCATGAAGGGAAGTCAGGGCAGGAACTCAAGCCAGGAACCTGGCAGCAGGAACTGAAGCAGAGGCCATAGACGAGTGTCACATACTGGCTGCCTCCCCATGGCTTACTCTGTTTGGTTTTTATACAACCCAAGGGTGGTACCGCCTACTGTGGGCTGGACCCTTCCACATCCATCATTATAACTCAATAAAAATGCCCTCCAGACTTGCCTACAGGCCAATCTGCAGGAAGAACTCCTTTAATTGAGAGTCTCCCTTCCCAGATGACCCTAGCTTGTGTTAAAGTGACCAAAACCTAACAGGCCCACAGCTGAAGAAGGAAGCCTCCTCCAACCCTACAGAAGCTCTGGCTGGTACCACCTTCTGCTTCCAGCCATATGCTAGCCCCACCAATGTGACTCTTCTCTTTGCAGTCTCCCCACCCTATCCCAGTATCTCCCACAAGAGTAGCTTCAGCATCCTGCATAGTCAGTTCCAAGATACTCTGCAGATACCCAAACCTGCAGATGCCCAAATCCCATCTATAAAATAACACGGACCCTTTATGTAAAGCTATACATGTTATCTACACAGTCCATTTTGTTTTGGGCATATAGTCCCTTTTTGTTGCCTAGGCTAGCCTCAAACTTTCTAAGTAGACTAGGTTGGCCTCAGGTCCGTGGTTCTCCCGCCTTGGCCTCTGAAGTGCAGAGATTACAGGTGTGCTCTATCACCTGAGGCTCTTACCCATTGCTGGGGTTTGGATGAGAATACTCTCCCCACCACAGGCTTGAACCACAGGTGTTTGGATGCTTGGTCCCCCGGTGGTGGTGCTGGGTGGTGGTGCTGTCTGGGAAGGTTGTGGAACTGTTAGGAAGTGGAGCCTTGCTAGAGGAAGTATGTGACTAAGGTGAGGTTTCATAGCTGGCCCTACTTCCTGTTGCCTCTTTCTGCTTCTTGTGTGTGAATGAAATGTGATCTCTCTGCTTCCTGACTGTCA